ATCCAATTACTGAAGCAACTTAAACATATACATTTCATCAAATATGTAGCGAACATAATATCCAAGTTTAACACATCATCCTTAATAATAGCATTCAACTTAAACAAATAAAACTTTTCCCCTTCTCGAGTTCAAAATCAAAAGATAAGAAGAAACCAATCAATCGCTGGTCAACGCTTGCACAGTTGAAGCTGTCCCATGTGTGATTGCAGCTTCCCCCAATGGATTTAAGTTTCCATGGTCGGCGACAAGAGAGAAATATAAATGAGGCTATGAAAAATTAGGGTTTTAAGAATGCCAGCCTAAGGTGTGTAAAAAGTGTCTTACTTATAATCTCCCAAAGTCAAACCTTCCACCAATAGAAAAATTTATATTTTTGTTTAAATTCCAGCCTTTTTAAAGCAGATATGGACAACTGTCTAATTCCAGAAATTACTCTTGTACTGTCTGCTAACTCATCGATTGTTGCAACAATGGATTTGGACACACCACAATTCTGCTTCTCTGCTACTCACAACAATATCTGACAGCATAAAAAATTCGCAGCATCAAGGCAAATTAAAGTAAAGGAGTGTCAAAGCAAAATGTACCAAAAATAACTCGAAATTTACCAACTCACTCCCAGCATGCATTTAATGCAAAATATGTTAAAAATGATGTAAATATGATCATGGAATGCTCAAGTGCAAACATAAACTTTTGTAAAAAGACCTTAAATAATAAATTTTTTGGAGAGTTATTAAATATCTCAATATATATTAATCGACTAATGAGTTATCCACGGATGGTTAAAAAAAACCCATCAAGTGGGGCATTTTACAAATTATTCAACGATCATAATGGTCTGAAATGTAGTGCCCAATGTCAATTTGATAGATCAAAAGCTTGTGTCCTTTACATTGTCTTGTTTTTAGGCTGAATTCAATACAATGCAGCTATATATTAACCACGGATGGTTAATAAATATCCAAGTCTAAATATTTTTCTTCCCAGAATATGCTCAAACATGTTCACCAACAATTTCTTTTGGGCATCGCATCATTACATGTGCGGAGGTTTAATATTCTAACATGAACATGATGGGGTTCCTTGCTCTGATTTAGTCTCTAAATTTTTTAATATCATGTTTTAGGGATGAGTTTGGACTATTCAAAAGGTTGGAATCAATTAAGAATGAAGGTCATATTTTAGGGATGAAATTCAAATGTTCAAAAGTTTAGAGACTGCTTTTAGAATGAAATTAACTCAATAAAAAAAACAAGGCTCATCGTATCGAAGTGTTCCCATTTCGTGGTACCCAAGTAAGGTGTATTTATTTGGTTTTGCTGTCAGGTCAGCCCTCCAACTTACAAGGAGTCATCGCGTTTCTCCTTTGTTTTTCATCTATATTATATATATATGTTTCTCTGTGGTTTATAAGTTGATTGGCATGGCGTCTACGTAGTCACCCAGGTTTCTTGGCGGCCTAAGTATAGCTAATATGTTCTCTACTTTTAGTGTTGGAGAAATCAATTACAAAGCTTGGATTCCTAGATTGGGATATTTGTCTCCTTCTATCATTTTAATATATATAGATGGATTTAGGAGTGCAATCGCGCCCCTTGAAATTTTATATTCTTGTATAATTTAATATTTTTATATTTTATATTGATTATCTAATTTTATATTATTATAAATTTATAATATAATTTCTTAAGTGGACATTATTAACATAAAATCTCCCCAGGCATACAAGCTACTAAAGAGGTAGCATTGATTAGGGGTGGTCTTCGTTGATTAAAAAATACAAATTGTTTGATACGAGTTACATTGCAACCAGACCAGCTCTCTCCTCTACATTCCAAGTACATGATCTTATCACCGCATTCACAAACAGAAACCAATAAATAAATAAGTAATTGTGTGTGTCGTCACTTTACGACCCACTGGAAGCTCAAAGGGTCAGGCAAACCGAAATCCAGGAGAAGGATACGTGGCTACAATGTGTGCTCCACACACTCACTTCCGTTCAAAATAACTCTTTAATTATACTCATAAAATACTCCAACGCCTCCCAATACGTGGGTACAATTGATCTCGGTACATCTATGATTATGGGGGATTTGGATTTGGTTGATGTTGGAACATTGATGATTCATCGGGCTTTTAGACTTTGAAGCAGCTGTCACATGTATAACTGATAACATAGGTATTAATTTAAAATATGATTTCACATTTTTAAGTGATACAACATGTTAAATAAAAGTATGAAAAACTCCATCACTATGTTTAAGGATATAAAATATTGTTAATGTTTAATGGGAGAGATGGTGGTTAGTAATGATTTATTTTTCCAATATGAACAGAGAACCATTAGTGATGGTTGTATAATGCCGGTCTGATATACAATTTGAGTTAAGTAAACGTTTATGATTCATCCTCTATGGTTTGGATAGAAAGTTATAAAAGTAAAATTTCGTGTACCTCGTAGGTCAAGGGCTCCAATCATTGAGCTTCTCTCGAACCCATCTCATTTAGAGACATCCACATATGTTATTAACATCAATCTAATGGTGATGGATCTACGTGCATCTAGGGTGAGCATTTGATCGAGTCGAGTCAAATCAAAAAAATTTAAATTATCCAAGTGGACGAGTCTTATTTTATAACTCGTACTTGATTTGAAATTTTTCGAGTTGAGTCGAGTTTATAAAATTCAAGTCGAGTCGAGTTGTTCAAGTTTCTGTTTAGATTTAATTGTAAATATTTACAACACTATGATATACTATTTGATTATAATTTAAATGGTTTTCTATAACTATATACAATATATATATATATATATATATATTTCTTCATATTTTTTATATGTAATATAAATATATCATATGGACTCAAGGGACCCGACTCAAACTTGAGAATCAGCTCACTAATTATTAAAAGTTTTATGTTATTCGAGTTACTATTCAAGTTGTAATTTTATAAACTCGACTCGATTCGAAGTTGAAATTTTTTAGAATCGAGTCGAATTTATGAAATTACAACTCGAAGTCAATTCGAGTCGAGTTGAGTCGAATTTTGTTCACCCCTACATGCATCTATGTGACTCAAACGAAGGCATCTTACACAATCTACAAAGAAATTCATAATCATCTTGTATAATTTACATAGACATCACGACGGTTCATCATTTCTAATTTGGATCGAGAGACGTAAAAGTAAATTTTTCCCTACCTCAAGAGTTATGGACTCCAGTCAGAGAACTTATCTCGCTATACGGATAAAGGCATCTCAATTAGAAATATCTACGGGTGTTGTGTTAACACCAATCCAATGATGAGAGATCCATAGACATACATGTGAAGAGCCATTGTTTTCTAGTTCGTGTAGGACCATAGTTACAAATTTTTTTTGTATTCTTCTTAATTTTAATATTGAAAAAGTTGCTTATTTGTATGTATTTTTTATTACTTAAAATTTTTTATGCAAATTAATCTTGGTGTTCTATTTTATTTTGTGATCATTTCCATTACTGTTATGTTTGAGTATTGTAATGCTCGTGATCCCTTAAATCAAAGACAATTGTATTTAAACATATTTAAATTTACAGCATCTAAAATATGTCAACAAAAACAAGACTCGTTAAACTTATTAAGAAAATAAAAAGAAAATACCGTTGTAGTAGAAGTTTGCATCATGAAATTCGTCATGGTGCACAGATTTTAGGGGAAGTTAGATGATGAAATTAACACACACTAAAACACAACAAATTCTCCATTTCTTTTCCTATGTAAACGTGTGCTTTCCACTTTTTTAAAAAGAAATATCTTGCAGGGACACGTGTAAGCATGAATGGTGCACACTTGGTTGCTGCAAAGGAACATTGGCCCCTTTGCCAATTGCCACCCATTCTTTCTCCGAAGTAGCTGTATATTTGGTCTTCTTGCTGATTTTCGGTGGCCTGGGGTTTTTTACTCCCATGTGAACTTCACGTGCAAACCATTTGGTCCATATTCAATTAGGGGTTTTCATGCAGGTTTATGCTTATGCTTTTGCTGCTACCATCTTTCTCTCTCTCTCATTAAACATGGAAGAAACTTCAATTTTCTGCTGCTCTTGCTCTTACTTCGACTGCATTTTTTGTCTGTTGACATTCTTATATATAATCAAAGTGCATTACAGGCAAATAGTTACCATTACCTACATACACTTTACCTGATCCATTGTATTTTCCATAGGATGCCATGTTCGCAACATCGGTAAAATGATTCCAGCCTCAAGAATTTGGGTACCAAGAATTATTAGCAACAGTTTCTAGTGTGGTGAGGAGTGTATGAGAAAAACAGTGGAACTAGAAATATTTTTTAAGATGAGTATATATATGTTAATAACATATAGTTTTTGAATAAGATAAACATAAATAAAATTTTTAGTTAGACACCATAAATAAAATAAATGGTATAAACTAAATTCTATATATAAAATAAAGTTCTTTTTTATAAATATTTTATCAAATTTAAACACGAGTATTTGCTGACAAGAGTTATCTAGTGATTATCTAGGTATAATTAAAATATAATTAAATCCTTGAACTTTATTTGATTAAAATATAATTGTCGGTTATCTAATGATAAGGGAGACACCAAGCGGAGGCGGACTGTAACAGGAATCTTGGTACTTCTAATATTTGGGAAAATTTGAATTATTTTCTAAAAATTTGAATTTAAACCCTCAAATTTATTAAAAAATCTCATTAAGTATTAACATTTTAATTAATCTCTCCTAAATTTGTTAAAAAATTCATTAGGTCTCCCAAAATTTAATTATATTAAAAACTATCACACAGAAATCCATCACATACACGAAATTAATAGCTGACAAAGAAAACCAAAAAGACAAAAAAAAATGTAATATAGTATTGTTTGAAACTGAAATGTGAAAAACATTATTATAATTTAACCTTTGAAAAAATAAACAAAATATGCACCAGAAAGTAATAATAATAATTAATAAGGGGAAATCTTTGTAGCCATAAAATTAATTACTGTAAAAATATTTTTACCATCTACAATGTAGAAATGGAAAAGGAACACAAAAATGAAAGAAATAAAGAAAAACCAGCTGAGCTTACAAATGCTAAAAGGCTACAAGCAAGTTCCTCAAAAAAAAAATCTGTCTAAAAAATTACGGTACGGTAAAAATATTTTTTTAAAACTTAATTTACCTATAATTAAGCTTGATTAACTAAGTCTTTAGCTTGGATAAACGTTCCATGAAAGCCATATGGGACCCTGGAAGGTAATTTAATGGAAGCTTCAATCTGTAAATTCATGGCATTTACGATTCGAAGCTCCGATGTCCATGTCTTCTCGTCGTGAACAAAGGAAAGAATGTAGCCGTCATCTTCGGTTGATTCAGAATTGTCATCTCGTGGTAAAAAATATGGCTCCCCGCCGTATTTGTTGTTGCCGTAAATGTGTTTTTTTACCTCCCCAGTTAAAAGATCGACCTTGGCGAACCCTGACACTTTCGGCCACGGTTCGGCAATGGCGAGATAAGCATACCGTGTCTTTCTTCCGAGGTGGTTCCGGTTCACCATTCCGGCTTCCAGGTTGATTTGCTCGGATTCCGAGATTATGGGACGGCGCGTGGATTCACCTGTCTTTAAATTCAGCCTGATTTCGGACAGTACACTCTTTAAGCTCTCGTCACATTCGTTGAAAATGGAGTCTGGTGGTGTCATGCAAGAACCGATCACCACAACTTCATTGGATTCCGGTTCTTCCCAAGCATTCCATAGATGAAAACAAAAGGTATTTTCCGATTCGACCCATATGATATCGTCAGCATTGCTCGCGTTTTTCGAAAGAATCCCGAACCGAGACTTCTTGTTCTTTTCGTAAATCACCGGAGATCCGCCGGTGATCATCTCTTGCAGCTTGAACACAACTTGTTGGTCTGGGATCACAACGAAATTCTCCGTGATGGCGAAATCATGCATCATGGTCGGCACCGGTAAGGGAATCTCGACGTCGGGTGACTTTTTACCGTCGGGCGAAAAATTGAAGTACTTCAAGTACGGTTTTTGGACAACATCGTAACTCAAAGCGAAGAGTTCCTTGGAAACTGGGTCGATTTTGGGATGAGCAATCATTGTCGATTTGAGTTGTTGATCGAAATCGTATCGTCCAACTGTTTCCAAATCACCTGAGGAAGTGATGCGAACGTGGTAAGGGAGATCATCCTCGGACATGGCCAGAACTCGGTCGTTGAAATAGACTAAACCAGCGTTGGCCACGCCGGTGCCTTGTTTATGATCGATGAGGCCGAAGAGTCCTCGAGCGTAAAACAGCATAAGCCTTGCGATCCCCGAATGGCCATGGAGCTCGCCGATTGCTTTAGGGAAAACAGGGCGGCCCAATTCTTTCTCCTGTACAAGCCTTTGCGTTTCGGTGAACCGACAGGCGTAACTAGCGTCGCCATTGTTGATGCTAACAGCGTGAACCATCCCGTCGCCGTCAAACAAGTGATGGCCAGCAACCGGCTCGAATAAAGGATTAGCTCCGTTCCGGAGATAAACTCCGTTTATAGAAGAAGGGATGGTGCCATCGACGGGGAGAGAACGCTGCACCGGCTGTTCCGGGACGGGAGAGAAGTTTCCGGCGATTTGAACGCGTGGGTCGGATGTTTTAGGGAGTGGGTGTTGAAGCTCACGTGAGAGCAACGCGCTCTCCGCCATGTCGAGCGCCATGGCCGCCGCTCTTTGCAGGAGGTTCCACTTCGTCGGCTGTTGATGACTTACATCTTCTTTGTAATTCGGGTACGTTTTTTGTTTCGGGAAACAGATAACCGAAGGAGAGTTCAATGCTGAGTGAATAATGTTGATGCCTTTGTTCCTCTTGGGCTGCCATTTTAGCCTTGGAGAGAACCTCAAGTCTACAATTGCAGAGGAGGAAGAAAGAGAATGGGGAAATTGGGGTTTGGCCCAAATATTTGTTGAAGAAGCCATGGCTGGTTTTAAATCGGAGAAATCACAAGTGTTTTAATGGTGAGTGAGTGAGTGAGGAAGAAGAAAGCAAACATACGGAAAGAAGGGCGGGTGAAGAGGTGCCTTTGGAGGAACGAAAGCGAGAGAAAATGGGTATAAATAGAGTTTGGGGAGGTGAGAAAGAGCCTCCACCTCAGACACCTAAGGGATCACCACGTGGTCCGTTGTTTGCAATGGCCATTTGGTCTTTGGAATGGTCAATGCTAAACATATAATATAAATAAATACATAAAAAAATATAAAAATAGAACTAACGTCTTTGAATTTTAATCTTCAAAATATATTTTAACTTTTTTATATAAAAATTTAGAAAGTATACAAATTAATATATGTTTAAAGATTTTCTAATCATCTCACAATGAATATTTATATCTTGACATATGTGGTGCTTAAATATAGAACCTTAAAAGATAACCACAAATCTCTTAACCATTGAGATCATTTAGTTAGTGTTATTTTAACTTTTTAAATAGTTCAACATAATTGTAAGATAGAATATGTTTAGATTTTTTTTAATATATAACAACATGTATACACCCTACAATTACAATTACTCAAATTTATGTTTTCTAAAATAGTAATATTCATTTTTACCATCAAAATCACTCAATAAATTCTAAAAATCTCAATTTTAAATCTTTATCATGTGCATTTTGAGTCCAAATTTTATTATAGTTTAGTGCAGATTCTTGATCTTACCATGTATAAGTCGTATTTGATATGTCTTGATTATTAATTTGAATATATTTTATCATAATTAATTATAATGATATATATATATATATTTGTACTTAAAATCGTGGTTTATAAAATAATTTAAAATTTAGATTGATGTTTAAATCAATTGGATCACTAATGTCTGATTCAAATGAGTAAATGAGTTTTAACTGATTGAACTGTCAATTCAAAATAAATTAAACAAAAAATAAAAAATTTAATTAAAAACATAAAACTTGTTTTATTCGATGAATCAACGATTTTTATCCTGATTAATTCAATCAATCTAACCATCAATTCTCAATTCAATCAATTTAACTAATTGATGTGTGATTCTAACAATCATAGATTTATAAGTATTCAGTAACTTAATATATATTCTTTTGAACGTACATTTAAATCACGAGATATAAATTTTGATAATTTTACTTAAACATTTATAAAAATATACAAGGACAAAAGGAATTCTAGGTTTAACTATCACATGTATATAAGGTAGTATCTAATTAAAGACTCTCAACCATTTAACAATGAACAATCATATCCCTACATACAGATGTTAGAACTCGATATTTCAAGTGATAATAATAATCTCTTAATCACTGAGATCGCTTAATTTATGGTGTGTTCGAATTATTAAAACATAAAAAATGGGTTTTTTCTCCCTCCCTCCCTCCCTTCAACAACAGTGATTTTCTCTCACATGCTGGTCGTTATTGTTTCATACACTTATACACAATACAACCCCATGAACGTGATCCCTCAACATGCCTTCCCCACTTGCCAGCAACATTGGTTCATTGGAATTTAATGTCAGTTGCCGGGGCTCTTTCCTTCTTCTCTTTTAACATCCCATCATTTCGACTACGACATTCCTATTAAATGAATTTAAAATCTATTATTATATTTTAAATTTGAATTTTATAATAATTTAATCTAAGATCGGATCGTATTAAAATCTATAATTTTTAGATAATTTAACTATTCTTAATCATAAACCATTCGGAGTGACTCATTTTTGTGTGGTTGACAATGGAGGCTGAATTTGGCATTTGCATATGTGTTACTATCATTTCCCATATATCCCATTGGCATTTACAAACTAGAAAGATGACATTAAAGTACCTATATTTTTTGACGTCCCCTAATTTTATATCTAACATTGAGTCCCTATAACATCTGTAATTATCAGTTATCATTGTCACAATAAATTTTGTACCGAATATTTTCAATACCATCCACTATGAACACAACATTTGTTTAATCTTTAGCCATTAACTAAATGTCATATCTAGTTGTTTAGAGGTCCCCCTTCCCTGAATCCGATCGTTACCTATGCAGAACAAAATCGAACTTCATTAGGCGCACTAGTAGCACTCAGGCTAGAAAGATAATGGCATTAATGCCAGTTATGGTTGAAAATCAAGATGGTGACAGGAGATAGATAATAGTTTGTATATGTATTACATATCTTTTTAAAATTTAGGGTTTAGAGTTTATCATCAATTTCAAACGTTGTCGAGGGGCCATCACCAGACAAAGTAGAGGATGGAAATAATGGTGAGTAATGGACATCTTTTTCTTCAACTTTCTGTTAAAATGTAGCTCGTAGGCGATATCGAACTACCTCGGAAGCAAGTAGGCTCAAGTTGGATCAGTTGTAGACACCAAGTTTAATTAATAACTTCTCCATGTTGGGGAGTAAGTGAGAAAGTTAGGTGCCTTAATTAACAAAAACATTGCACATCTGTTCACATTGTCATGTTCCTAAAGCAAATCACTTAAATGAAGATTTTATCCTGCATTAAACATATTAAAAATGAGGCTAAGGGCTAAGTAGTTTCTGGTTCCCCCCAGTCAGCAAATTACAGCCTAGCTTGCTTTCTAATCTTTAATTCTTAATACGCTTAATTAGAATATAATCTTTGATTAATTATAATATAAAATGTAAGCTTAATTGCCTAGATGCCATAGGTGGATGATTCTCAAACATATCGGCTGCATGGGAAGATTATGTGTTGTTCAATTAACTACTTTATCTACTCATTTTAATAATAAATTATCTCCACGCTTCACGTACTAGCTGCCGTTTTTATACATATACCAGTCTTTAGCTTATGCTTTTAATTAGCTTAATTTATTTGAAAACTATATTGAATATTAATATTTTTGGTACATTTGAAATGTTTTATATAAATAAAGAAGATTGTGTACATCTAATTCTGTTCGGACCTTTTAGATTTATGTTTGAATTTGAAACTTCGAGTTTTAACAAGCCTTTGGACTTTCGTTTCGTGTTATAGACTTATTTTATATGATTCCATCACTATCATTTTCAAATCGTTTCCATTACTCGGAAGTTCATCAAACATAACTCTCTTTAACCTTGTGTTCGATTCCCTAAGCCTCAATTTCATTTTTTTATTTTGTGCCTTATTGGAGAAGACTACTTATCAACAATTTAACGGCTTCCTAATAGGGTGATCAAATTGATAGTATTTTAAAAGTTGAATGATTCAATTGCAAGAACTTTTGTTTGAGTAACAAAATTCCAAACATCCTAAAAATAGAGTGGCCATTTATCTTGTTTAATTTTGTAGTGTTTGATGAAAACAAAAAATTAATGGTATTAATTAACCGTGTGAACTTTATGAAGAGCGGCGCAAATAGATGTTATGATCTTCATAATCTAATCATTAGATCCTTCACTTAATTCATTTTATTTGAGTTAAAAATCTTTTAAAGAAAAGTACAAAATAAATAAACAACATCTAATATATATATTTCAAAATAAAATACATAATTTTACCTATTTTGTCAGTTAATAAATAATTGTATAATCGTATTATATAAATTATTTATTATTTCACCTGACATAAATGTAGGTATATAAATTAATGGGAATGTGAAACATAAGATCCAACGGCCAATGGGAAACACGACATTTAAATTTGTTTAATTGATTGCCAGAAAATAAAGTGAAAAGAGAATCCCAATGGGACAATAGTGAAGATTGCTTTCATAAATTATTGGAAGATATATACTTCTAAACTTCATTTAATCAAATGCATATCTTAATCTGCATGAGTTGTCGGTCCATCTCTAACACCCAAAACCGCAATTCCAGTTAGGTTCAACTCTCTAGTTAGATGCTTATATGAATATATAAGTTAATATTTTATGTACTGACGATCTATAATTTGAAATTTTTAAAAATAAATATTTATTTTAATATTTTAGAAGATAATATTAAATTTGAGTAATATTTTAACTTGGAGTGACTTAAAATGTCACTAAATGAAAAATTTTGCGAACTTGTTGTCTATTTAACTCTGTTACTGATAATATGTATAATAAGGATTGAATCAATAAATCTAATATGAATTGATAAATTTTGGAATAAGAATAATTTTTTAGTAATCCATTTGATTTTAATAAATCATCGGCGTTGAAAGATCATTAAACATTTTAGGGAAATTTTTGAGAAATGCCATTTCTAGATTCAAATTTCTTTGTTTGTAGGTGAATTATATAATTAATATGTTTTACCAAAACTTGAACACATTATTATTTGAGATAGACACGTGATTTTATGCTAAAAGTACGAAGTTAAGAAGTTATATTATAAATTTAAGAAGTATGAAATTATAAAATTTTAAAGAGTGTTAAACTATATCGACAATAAAAAAAAGTAATCTTAATAATTCGAAATTCAATAGAGAACACGAAAAATAACACTTGAATGGAAAATGTTAATTTGGTCTTACAAATGTTGGATTTTGATAAGCATTAAGCACTAGTATATTTGATAAGGCTGTTTTGATTATTTTGTTGAGAGTGGATTATCCATAATGGATGAAAGATTAGAACAACTAATGTTAATTGATACACGGTCGAGTGAAGACTTCATGTTGTTAACTAACACTAAATTGTTTGGCCAATCTTATTGCTACCGACTCGGTTTCTGCTTTCTTTTGCTAATATTTAAAAGTCGGTTATTATCGTTATCAACGGTTTTGTTGCATGGAATGCACAATGAAGTTAAGTTATTGGCACATATACTTAGTGCCTTAATGGCAAATTAATCTTGTTTTGAGTTATAGATAATATATGATTGTCCCTTGTTCCCATATGTAATGGGATAATGGGAAGGTAAGATAGTAGGCTGCCCCAATACTAGGTTGAGAGCAACTTCCGTAAAAGACTCCGAATTATGAAATGCCCTCCGTGGGACTCGATCCACGACCTCAAGGTTAAGAACCTTGTACTCTACCAACTAAGCTGGATAGTCATCTCTTATATATAATATATGTTACTCATAAATAAAATCAGGAT